TTTTTTTTTGTTGTTGTCCTGCAGGTGACAAGTACGAGCTGCACGCGGCCACCGCCACCACCCCCAGCGTGGTCGTGCACGTGTGCGAGAGCGACCGGGAGAGCGACGGCGGCGACGAGGAGCCCAAAAAACCCAAACCCAAAATCATCCAGACCAGGAGACCCGATTACACCCCTGCCCATCTCAGCTGAGCTGCTGCTGCTGCTGCTGGGTTTGGCTTTTGGGTTTTTTTCCCAGTAGGAAACTTCCCAGGGGAAAAAAAAAAAAACAACCCCGTCGGGTTTGGCGGCAGCGCTCGAGAAATTCCCCGTCTAAGAGAAAAAATAAAGGAAGCTTCATCCCGATTTTTTTTGAGGCTGCAAGTTGATCCCTGGGTGTATTCCCAAAATGGCTGGGAGAAGATGATATTTGGAGACAAACCAAGACAAAAATAGGGTTTCTTTTTGGGGGGTGAAGGAGCTTTTCCTTGCCTGACTCTTAAATCCTCCGGTTGGATGGAAAAACCTCGGGATAACAGAGGAGGTTTTAAGGATTAAAGTCCTTAAAACTCAAAAAAAAAAGTACTTTTTCTCATCCTGCATTTTGTGCATGTGTATTCTTGGTCTTCTAAAGTAACTTCTGAGTTATTTTCTAGAGTTTCTCACGAGCTGGAAATCGGGGAGGTTTAAAGTATTTATTATCCCAGATTTCCCTCTAGATGTGTAAATACATATATTTATATTGGTTTTTATTGGCACTGCTTTTCCAGCAGGCACAAAATCCCTTCAGCCCCCCCTGATTTAGGTGCTGTGGGGACCAGTGCTTTTAAAAATGTTCACCTTTGAAATGCCTCCAGTGGGGTTTTATCTGGCAAAAAACAATGGGGAAAAAAAAAAGGTGCAACGGGAGACTTGCTGAAATGAATGGATTTTAAATTATTTAAGTTCTGGTAATTTATATCTTCAATGACATTTGTTTGGTAGCTTTGACTTGGGGAGGGGGGGGAAAAAAGGACTTTTAAGGGTATAAATAAGGCTAATGGTGCATATTCAGAATTTTTTCAGTGATGGAGGGACTTGAATCTGCGTTTTTTTTGTGAGAAAAGGTTGAATGGTGATTGTAAAATTACAGGGAGGAGAGATGGTGCCTTTGCCTTGTCCATTCCTACTACAGGCTGCACACTTGGATCTTTTTCTACTGGCTTTGTACATCCAGAACTCCCAAACTTTCTTAGCTTTGCCTCCAGACTGAGCTGGTGTGAAATGCTTTAATGCCAAGTAATGCACATTTAAATCATGGCAATGTGTGGGAGAAGCTTTAGGGGTTTTATATGTTCCAGACAGTCCTGGTAATTAATCCAAATTCCAAGGCAAAAAAAAAAATCCAAAAAGATGAGAGAGAAATGTATTTTATTACTTGTTTTTTTAAAACTGGAGATCCTCACCTTGAAACAGGTATTTTTTTGGGAAGAGATAGCAACTGATTTTTGTGGAAAATGTCATTTATGGGTCTTAGGAAGTTTGTTGGAAAGTTTTTAGGAATCCAGACGTGGTTCCCTCCTGCTCTGCTTTTGCCACAGTTGGTCTGAGAAGGAGTTTGAAGCAAATATTGACTTAAACACCCTTGTTTTTTATCAATAATACCTGTTTTAAAACCGAAGATGTGGAATGGAGCCATCCCAAACTGGGAAACAAGGACTGGTGTTGCCAAGTGAAACGGAAACCAGTGACTGGAGAACAGGAATATGTGGAATTTTCTGCTCTGGTTTTGATCACTGTTCCCTGGAAACTGGAAAAAACCCTGGTCCTTGGTGTTAAAAAGACCTAATTCCATGTCCTGCTGGAGCTCTTGGATGGACACAGAGGAAAAATCAGGTTATTTTGGGGGTACAAGACCCAGCTGGGGCCATGTCCTGGCTGCCAGCCCCCAAAAGAAAGGAATCAAGCAGGTTTGCCACAACTGCCTTTAAGCCTTTCCAAGATTTATTTTTCCACGTTTCTCCAGTTCCTGCTGGACTCAAGTGTCTCATCCAGTTGAAAATGGAAGAATTCCTGTCCTTTCTCACCCATGGCAAATCCAAACACGACTTCTCCATCACAGGGAGCTGCTCTTCTGTTCCCTAAAAAAAACCAACAGTGCTGCTTTTCAACTGAAAACCACCAAAATCCGTGATTTTTAACCATTTCCTACACCCAGAAAGTGGCCACTGGGAAAGCCTGGAAATCTTGGAATGGTGACAGCGTGTCCCTGGTTGTGTCTCCTTGGCTTTTCCTGGTCCTTTTTCTTTTTAATGTTCAACTGAATGCTTGGTTGGTATTTTCTACAGTTGTATAGCACGGGGCATATTTAAATTAAAATATTTTGTTGTCTTTCTTGTAAGTGGTCCTGGTGTTTCTGCACAAAAATCACACCAAAAATCGGGATTTTTAGGCTTCCAAGCAACTTAATTTGCAAAGGGGAGGGGGGGGAGGATCTATTGCCAGGTCACATCCTTAATAACCAAATAAATCTATTCCTGGAAAAGCTTTCCAGCCTTTTGCTTCCCATGATCTCAGTGGAAGGGTGACAATCTGCTGATGAATAAAATGCAGAATATTCCGGGTTAAAAATTGCTCCTTCTGTGCCTGGAGCTGCTTCTGAATAAAGGGATCGACCTCATAGTGCTTTGTAATAATCCCTGTGCAGCCATAAGGTGTATTTTATAGATAGAAAATTAATAATTCCGGGGATTTGCCCAAAAAAATGGTGGATTCCCCATCCCTGGAAGTGTCCAAGTGACACTTGGAGCCACCTGGGCTGGTGGAAGGTGTCCCTGCCCATGGAAAGGGTGTCTCTGGATGGGTTTTAAGGTCCCTCCCAACCCAAACCAGTCTGGGATTCCATGATTTCTGAGCTCCTGGAGTCTGGAAATCCATGTTTAACTGGCTTTGCCTGCAGGTCCTGAGCCTGAAGTTGTGGGTTCTAACCCGAGTTTTATTTTCCAGAGCAGCAACAAGTGGAGTCTCTTTGCCTTTGGAAATCGTGGAATTGTTCTCCCTGTGCATCCCAGGCTTGTCCAGGGTGGGGAGGGGAAAGACTCCAGCAGCTCCTTCTCCAACCTTTGGAACAATTCCAGCCAAACCACTGGAACACTTCCAACCTGGATTTTCCCCTGGGCACAATCCCTGCTCTGCCAACTCCAAATAACATCTTGGGGGAGACAAACCCGTCCTCTTTGCTTTTATCCTGCCTTACCCAACGTGCTTTTTGCCAAAAATTACACCTTTTAAAAGCTTTTTTTAAACTTTTTTTAATTTTTAATTCATGAACTGGCTAAAAAAGAAACCCTGGTAATTCTGGGATTCAGAGAACTCTCAGTCCAAGTCCTGTTCCAGAAAGACACAAACCAACAGAGAGAAGGAAG